GATGAAAGGAATGATCGCAGCATTAACATCAACTGAAAGTCATTGGCCTACTATATTTACACGATGAAAGGAATGATCGCAGCATTAACATCAACTGAAAGTCATTGGCTTACTATATTTACACGATGAAAGGAATGATCGCAGCATTAACATCAACTGAAAGTCATTGGCTTACTATATTTACACGATGAAAGGAATGATCGCAGCATTAACATTAACTGAAAGTCATTGGCCTACTATATTTACACTCTACTGGAATGGAGCAATAAATATTGAGAGAAAAGTGACACATGTGTTTCCAAGTTGCCAAATATTGTAATAGATGTATAGATTGATTCTCTATTCTGATTTCGTGGTTAAAATCTTCATCATTTCAAAGGTTTGGAACAGTGCGCACGGCTGATGAACGGAGACCTCACTTCTAGTTTATAAAAAATGAGACTGCGAAATTGTTGATCTTAAGTTAGCCTAGGTCTAGAACTGTGTGTAGACGAAACAAAGCATTTTGGGAAAAAATCGGGGAAAGCAGTTTGCGTAGAATTTTTAGAGTTAAGTCCTAGCCACATGGATGCTGTGGACGTCTGCAAAGTTTCAAATGTGTGGGTTAGGTAATAAGGGAGGAGTTTATGCACAAAGCCTCCCAAGTCCACTTTTACATATATAGAGAGAGATCTCTTTAACGGATGAATCAATGTCATCTATACTTTGCACAGTTGTTTGTATCAATTTGTCTTAACTAAATTATATTTTTTCAGAACAATATTGATCTAGATTAAGATTTTTATTTTCATAAATTTATATAAAATGGCATCATTTTAAGGTCAATAGATTCATGTTCAATAAAATGCTGTGTAAATGACTATGTGTCCATTTATGTATTTTGCGAACTGCATTGTATATATTTATTATTTTATTTTGTATTTGTACGTGCTCATTTCGTAACGATGCGTAAGCGTGCGCGTGTGATAAACAAGTAGATGTGTTTGTGCATGTGTGTGTGTGTGTG